GGCAGGGTAGGTGGGACTACAGTGCATTTGAAAAAGAGTACGTTTCTTTTTGACGTAGTCTACATTTTAAAAAAATCGAAAAAAAATGCACTTCCATGAAGGCTGTGAACATGGGTGTATTTGCAGCATAAACAGGCTGTGTACAGATGTCCTAGAGCTGTGTACAGCCGCCCCTAGATCAATGGGTAAAGGTGGTTTTAAGCAGCTATGGGCCACTATTGGCACAAAGTTACACATGCGCACAGACTAGGGCCCCTTTCACACGGGGCGGACTCCATTTTGTCCAGCAAGGGATCGGTCTGCTAATCACAGCAGAGTGGGTGGATGACGGGTACATGTCCGCTCGGTTTCTGCAGAGTGGACACAGACACAGCCCGCTCTGCTTTATGTACCAGTGGGTGTAAATGGACTAAGCGGTCCTGACTGCCCTCTGATGGAAGGGGACAAATCCCCTTCTGTTTCTTTTAGGATCAGATTGGAGGTAAGTGGGTGTAAATGGACACCATTTACACTTGCCAGTCCATAGGGATGCATGGACCATCCAATGAGGTCCACCTGACAAACTGACATGCGGACCTGATTGGACCCACCTTGTGATGTCTGCCTTCCAATTTATCTGACACAGATATCCCAGGAGGAAGCAGGTGCGGGGTAACATCATTCTGGCCTGGACAAGAATGAAGACAGGTGGTGGACCAAGGATCTAAAAAAAAAAAAAAAAAAAAAAGTAGCCAATCTTGTTTAAGATTAAGCCCTGGTTCACACTTACGCGGTGCGGCACATTGCATGTAATTCACACAAGAACCACACCGCAGTCCTGTGCAAATCACATGCGATTTCTGTTTGGTGCAATTTGAGCCATATATTTTGTATGGCTCAGATCACACTGCATCCGCATTAAAATAGTGCAGGACCCTATTTTTGTCTGCAACAGAATCGGATCGCATGGATATTCACACCCAACGCGATCCGATTCTGCACATCGCACCGTATATTGCGAACCGATTTCGGTGTGCTGTTAACATAACATACACACCTGCAGTGGTTCGCATGAATGGAGTGCGATTATGATGCAGTGCGGAATTTGCACAGCACAGTTGCAGCAGAACTTCCTCTTTCCTGCCTCATCCCCCCTTTGCCAAGGTGAGGATGATGTATCCAACCCAGGGGCGGACTGACCATTTGGAAACTCGGGCACTGCCCGAGGGCCCGGGGTCAGTAGGGGGCCCCAGGAGATGCCCCTGGTACCTTTTTCATAGGCTTTTTTGAGTTTGGGCAAGGACACAGGGGCCTCATGATCAACCTATTGTCCGGGGGCCCCATGAGGTGTCAGTCCGCACCTGATCCAACCCCTTGCAGGATCCTGGGATGTCTACATCAAACCAGGACAAGGAGGCTGTTTGTGAGATCTTGCGCATGCGCATAGACCCGAAGCTTATCAATGCATGCACGGGGCGGAGGATCTGGCCTAGACGCAGACATGATGTTGGTCTCTGCCAGGTGTATCACACTGTCTGCACATGCTCTGGATCTTGTTTCAAGATGGTGGCGCAGAAGCATTGCAATGGGTAGAGAGCTTTGCCTGCAAGGCTGCTTGCACTAGTATGTTTTTTTAATTTATTTCGTTTTTTTTATACAGGGTCAAGTGTTAGGAACATTACAATGAAGTTTAGCTTGGTAAGGGAGAGGGATACATTGGGAAAAAGGGGTATTTTGGAGTGAAGGCCCACTTTGAATGTTACAAAAAGTGTGAGTAACATTATTTCTGGTGCTGTTAACTTAACATACATAGCCGCAGTGGTTCGCATGAATGGGGTGCGATTATGATGCGGTGCAGAAATTGCGCAGAAACCAGTGCGAATTTCGCACCACGTCAGTGTGAACCAGGGCCACAGCAGAACTTAACCCATTTCCTCTTTCCTGCCTCATCCCCTCTTTGCTTAGGTGAGGATGATGTATTCAACCCCCTGCAGGATCCTGGGATGTCTACGTCAAACCAGGAGGCAGTTTATGAGCTGTTGCGCATGCACAGTGACCCGAAGCTTATCAGTGCATGCGCGGGGGGGGGGGGGATCTGGCCTATGTGCAGACATGATGTGGGTCTCTGCCAGGTGTATCGCCGTGTCTGCGCATGCTCTGGATCTTGTTTCAAGATGGTGGCGCAGGAGCATTGCAATGGGTAGAGAGCTTTGCCTGCAAGGCTGCATGGACTAGTAAGTATGTTTTTTCATTTATTTTGTTTTTTATACATGGTCAAGTGTTAGGGGCATTAGCTAGGTAAGAGAGAGGGATGCAATGGGATAAAGGGGTGTAGAGATGTGCTGGTTGCTTTAAATCTTAAACAGCAGTTGCAAAGCATTTATTTTTCTTTTCCCTCGTTGTGAGTGACAGACAAGAAAAGCAGGACTGTGCTCTGATTGGTGGTTGCTACAGCTGAGAAGGATGCACTCATAGCAGCACTGTTGCAGCTGAACTTATGATTGGCTATGGAGGAAAGGAGAGAGGAAAAAAAGGAAGAAGAAGCACATGTGGGGAGGCAGACATTTTCAGGGGACCGCATGGAGCAAGGGCTCCTGGTGCAAAGTCACAGAGTCTCACTCTCTGTGCTGCTAGAGCCCATGGGCATGGGCTGGGAGTGTGTAGCGGAGGAATTGTTGCAGGAAGACAGTGTGCAAATCAAGGATTGTCCTGCCTGACACTCAGGATTACAGCCACTCAAGTGCATGTGTCTCTCAAAGTCTGGAGCTGCTGAAGAGAGAGGATTTCTATTGCTGTCTAATGCTATCTAGAGGACAATTCAGAAACAGTGAGTACTCTGTGATGAAAGGGGATTTGATATTGCTGCATTTGCTGTTCATCTCTGGAGAATGGTCATGAGAAAGCCTGCTCTCTAATTCTCAGAGTGACACAGATCTTGGAAAGCCCAAGCTGCTCAGAATTAGCTATTCCTGCTGCTGATTGATGAGAGAACTCTGTCTCTGTATATTACTGGTTTGTCTCCTCAAAACTTGTGCTGTGGCTGAAGAGTGTGTTTAGTTCCAAGTCCCCACAGAAGCTTGCTGCTTTGCATATACTGAGCAAGGGTCAATACATCAGGATTTCACCTGTATGGTAAAAACTTTGTTGAAGTGTTGTTTTCTTCTATTGCAATGTTCACTGGAAGATTCTGCTTAAAGGAGACTGTGTTATCCTGCTACCCCTGGATTACAAATACTCTCCCATGCAGAGAGTGAGCGCTCTTCCATTGATTAAAGGGCCCCCAACATTGAGAGACTTTAAGTTTCATCCCACTGGCCAGTGGTTAGGTAGGACATTTCTGCTCTAGATAGTACTGCTATAACAAATGTCAATAAGCTGCTAAACCTCATTAACAGTTATTGTTCATGTGTCAATGTCACTCTAATGTGATACTAGTCAGTTTTTGGAGTCTTTGGCGAGTGAAGAGTGATTTCTTACTAACTGTGTTATGCAAAATGGTATCTGTGTTTTATGTACATTACCTGTGTTAAATCAGCTAGTTCTTTTTCAGGGTTTGTCTTCTTCAATAAAACCCATACAAAATATTTTCGAAGTGTTCTGGGTATAATCGGAGGTGTCACCAGATTCAGGTGGGATCTGAACCTATATATCTAAGCATCACCCAAGGGTGTGCTACAGGGGTATTTTGGATTGAAGGTCCACTTTAAATGTTACAGAAAGTGTGAGTGAGAAAAATTAATAAACATTGTTAGCAAAGTATTTTGTACTGTACACTCTCCTCTAAAGTGCTATGGAATATGATAGTGCTGTATAAATAAAATATAATAATTATAAGCTTGTCTCCAAATGCTCTATCCCTCAGGCTACTCCGATGTATGTGATTTGATCATAATATCTTTGAATTGATACACACAGAAAAATCCTGTATAATACTATCTGAGCATCAACTGCAGAAGCATCACATGAAACCGTAGCCAGTGGCAGTGACTGCATTATTCCTTATGTCGCATGGCTGGGGGGTAATTCTCTAGAGAGAAGACTAGGGGGGGGGGGGGGGGGAGTCCGTTTATCACCACACCAAAGTCCCATCTGTCACATGCAAAATCTCTCCTTTCTCTAGTGTCTTCCCATAGGATGCAGTGCTGCCACATGACCTTTGGCTATCTGGCTGGTAGGGGAGCGAAGCACTAGTCTATTAGAGGATTCTGGGAGCCCATATACATGGATATACCTGGCTTAAGGAATCAATGTATACAAACAATCATTATCACCACTGAAAGCTCTTCAATATAGAAAATAATTCAAACAAAGAAACAACAATAAATAATAAATAATGCTGGAACACAAATTATGGAGCGGATGATGCCACATTTTGTTGGTTTAAAACAATAGGGCTCAATCGTATTTATTGTACACCGGGACAACTGTTGGATGAGAGAGTGATTGTTTGACGACTCTCAAATAATGTAGATCACAGATTTTAAAAATGCAGACTCCAATTGTCATTTCTGCAGTGTGGAGGAAAGGCATCCAAACATAACAAAACAAGCCAATTAAAAGATAAAAAAAGCATTTGCTGCAATATCCACCTTAAAGTGGAACTTCACTCTCTCATTCAACATAGACGAGTTTTAATCCTTATGCTGCTAGCAATAGCAAATGATATCATATTTAGATGTTTACATTTTTTTTTACATTTCTTCAGTTACTTCCTAGTTTCCATTCCTAGGCAAATGATGTCATACATCCCAGGAGTCTGCAGAAGGGGAGGGTTCTCAGCTCACCCAATGCCTGAGCTAAGGGCAGATGGATTCCAGTCAGTAAATGCTACATGAATCAGCTGCCCTTACTCAAGATGGCCACTACCAGAAATGCCAGGGGGTGTTTTTTTAAATTATTTTTCAGCAAAATAAAGCATGGAGACATGGATGGATGGGGAAGTTTGCTTTGAATATTAACAATTAATTACCATATTTTTTGCTCCATAAGATGCACTTTTTTCCCCTCAAAAAAGGGGGAAAATGTCAGTGCGTCTTATGGAGCGAATATGGAGCGGCTGGTCCGGTATTTTCCACCGCCGCCGTGTCAAAATACCGGGCTGGCCGCTCAGCTCTGCAGCGGGACCTTATGGAGATGACTGCTGACCTTTGGGGAGGTGGGGAGCGGGTACCTGAATTTGACAGGTACCCGCTCTTATTTCCGCGGAGTTGTTCTTTGACCTTACCTGTTCCTCTATCCAGCGGCGCGCTGTCTTCCCGGCTTCTGTAGTGTGGGCGCTGGCCTTGACAGGCGGGTTGCCCAGTGCGCATGCGCAAGAAGCGGTGCTTTTTGTGAATGGTAAGGCGGTACCTGGGACACATGACAGATCCCAGAAGCTGCCGGACCAATCACAAAGCGCAAGTGCTTCTCGCCCATGCACACTGGGCACCCGGCTGTCATGCCGAGCGCCCACACTACAGAAGCCGGGAAGACAGCGCGCGGCTGGATACAGGAACAGGGAAGATCAAAGAACAACTCCGCGGAAGTAAGAGTGGGTACCTGTCAAATTCAGGTACCCGCTCCCCCCCCCTCCCCAAAGGTCAGCAGTCATCTCCTGTACTGTCCGCAGTCTCTGGTCATCCCTGTGCTGTCCGCAGTCTCTGGTCATCCCTGTGCTGTCCGCAGTCTCTGGTCATCCCTGTGCTGTCCGCAGTCTCTGGTCATCCCTGTGCTGTCCGCAGTCTCTGGTCATCCCTGTGCTGTCCGCAGTCTCTGGTCATCCCTGTGCTGTCCGCAGTCTCTGGTCATCCCTGTGCTGTCCGCAGTCTCTGGTCATCTCCTGTACTATGTCTGCAGTCCATTAGTTCAGAATTTTTTTTCCTGTTTTCTGCCTCTAAAATCTAGGTACGTCTTATGGTCAGGTGCGTCTTATGGAACACATTGGAAGAAGAGGAATAGTCTTGGGCAACACATAAAATACACTAACAATAAGGATAGCAGAAAAAGTCGGGCAGATCACAAGTTAACAATCACTCATATAAATGATGTACCTATCTGAGTAATAAAATATCTTTTTTTTGTAATTTTTTTTTATTGTAAAAGTAAAAAAGGGCAACATAAAACTAGTTCAATATTTGACACACACATCAATATCTGGTTGGATGGATGTAGTAGCAATTCTCATTTAATTCCCAAGGTGCTCATTAGATATTTTGGTTCTAATTTTGCCTTTGTGTGCTTCATTCTTGAAAAACGTTTTTCACAAATATAGGTGTTGCTGAAAATTGATGACATGAATAAGGCCTGATTGTGAAGAGTACAGGGGCGGACTGACCATTTGGAAACTCGGGCACTGCCCGAGGGCCTGGGGTCAGTAGGGGGCCCCATGAGATGCCCCTGGAACCTTTTTCATAGGCTTTTTTTTTGAGTTTGGGCAAGGACACAGGGGCCCCATGATCCCCTATTGCCCGGGGGCCCCATGAGTTGTCAGTCTGCCCCAGGAAGAGTAAGTTCGTTTTCTTAGTGAAGATAAAATTTAAAAAGTCCAGTAAAGAGATGCTGTCATGTCATGTAACTATAAATGCATTTTTTACCAAAAATTCTCCCCCCCACCCCCCCCCCAAAAAAAATCAACATTTTTAGGTAAGTTTACATTTTTGTGTTGGGTCACATTCATAGCCAACATGGGCCACAAGCGATCGGCGGGCCTTACGTTGGACACCCCTGCTCTAGAGCTTTGCAATACTTATTTTCTGCCACAGTATGATGGCCAGCGTCATTCAACCCACTACCAATGAGCCCAGGTTGTCCTGGACCCACTCCCATTCTGTGACTGGACAATGAAAGGAGAAGCAGAACAGTGAAGAGCTCAGCTCTTTGTCACTCTGCTTTTTCCTCCTATCAGCATGCTGTTTGTCAGCACATTAACTGATTGGCTCTTTGTGCTGCTTCTTCCTCTCGCACTCCAGCCCTGCTGTACAGGGACTACAAGGCTGAAACCAGTTCAAATTCAAGTACATACACTGCTTACTGATATAGTAATGATTACAGAGCTGCATTCATTTGTGTCTATTACATGTGACTATAGTTCAGATTTTAAAACAAGTGCTGCACAAACTGTATTAAAAACAAAAGGATTCTGATTTGCTGATGGGGGCAACAGGACATTATCCATGTGCCGGCCTTTAGAGTAGAAATACTGTAGAGGGTTTCAAAAAGAAATGTACAGCACTAGATTGTCAATGAATAAACCTCCTAATGTTTAGACTCTCTTTGGTGAGATTCTTGCTGTAGGTGTCACATTGTCCCTTCTTGCTGCTTTTGTTGTTCTGATTTAAAGGAATTTTGTATTGAACAACCTGTGCAATTACTCAACCCCTCCCCCGCCCCTCCGATGGCTCCCTACAGTGGCTTTACATACTTCCCTTGCTACTGTCCACTGAACTGATCCACTGTGTAGTCCCATGAAAATCTTTCTGAGAATAGGCACACATTTGGGTATGTGCCATAAGTGGTCTTACGTGGACTACTAATCCTAGTAGAAGTATTGATCTTTGAGCATCCTTGGCATCTGCACAGGAACTTTGCAGGGAATGGTAAGTTAAAGTCATCAAAAGATGCCATCTATATAGCAGGGTTTTGAGTAGGTTTTTTTCACCTATTCACATTCCTAACCCCAGAAACCACTAAGCAGCTCATCCACTCCCTCATCATATCACGACTCGATTACTGCAACTCCCTCCTCACTGGCCTGCCCCACCACAGGCTATCCCCACTTCAGTCGATCCTGAATACGGCAGCCAGACTCATCCACCTTACCAACCGCTCCGTTTCTGCCACCCCCCTGTGCCAATCCCTCCACTGGCTTCCGATTGCCCAACGGATCAAATTCAAAATGCTAACACTGCCCCAAACTATATCACCGACCTAATATCCAAATACCACCCAAAAACACACTCTCCGCTCCTCACAAGACCTCCTTCTCTCTAGTTCCCTGGTCTCCTCCTCCCATGCCCGCCTCCAGGACTTCTCCAGGGCAGCACCCATCCTCTGGAACTCCCTACCCCAATCCATCAGACTATTACCTACTCTCCTCTCCTTTAGGCGCACCCTGAAAACCTATCTCTTCAGGGAAGCCTACCCCACCCCCTGCTAATTGCCGATCTCCTCCACTCTTCCTACCACTCCATCCCCCACAGCTTTTCCTCCTGTACCACTATCCCCTCCCTCCTAGATTATAAGCTCCAAGGAGCACGGCCCTCGAACCCCTCGTGTATTGCATTGTATTATTATTGTACTGTCTCATGTATTGTCCCCCATTGTATGTACAGCGCTGAGCGAACTGTTGGCGCTTTACACTGTATAATAATTAAAGTGGTTGGAAAGAAACATTTTTTAATTTTTTTGAAAAATAACAAACATGCTATACTTACATGCTCTGTGCAATTGTTTTGCACAGAACAGCCCCGACTCTCCTCTTCTGGGGTCCCCCGCTGGTTGAGGGCACTTATGTGTGCTTGCTCCCGTGCTGGCTCTGAGCGTCCATAGACAAGTAGAGCATGGCTCGGCCCCCTCCCTTGCTCCCTCCTTACTGGTTGAGCTTCCCCTTGGTTCCCGCTGATGTCTCTAAGCCATTGAGGAGAGAGAGAGCCATGGGCGTCACTGCTCTTGTGCACAGCGCTAGATCGTGATCAGGCTCAGGTAAGTATGATGGGGGTTGGGGGGGAGCTACATGCAGAAGATTTTTACCTTAATGCAGAGAATGCATTAAAGCAGAATTTCCCCCTTCCCCTTGCTCCCCCCCCCCCTTCATTACATTTGGAACAATATATTTTTTTTTTGCAGCGGGGGGTGGCAGGTACCTGGTTATGGCAGGTACCTGCTCCCCCAATTCCAGCCAAGTCACCGTTTCCTTCCTTCCCCTGCAGCCTTCTGGAACATGTCACAGGTCCCAGAAAGCTGCGGGACCAATGGAATAGTGCAGTGTGGCTCGCACATGCACAGTGAGCAGCCGGCTGTGAAGCCGCAAGCATTCACAGCCTGCTGCCCACAGTTAGTATGCCGGCACCGGGGACCGCATCCTGATAAAGAAAGAGTTCGGATAAGGACAGCATCTGCAGAAAATAAATGAGTGGGTAGGGTTTGGCTACCATGTCTTTTTTGTATTGCATACATCCTAATTTTAGGAACGGGTGCAAATTATAGCATAGAGTATGTAAGAAAAAGAACATGCCCCTGACATACCTCCAGTTCCATGGACCATTAAGGAATTAATGCACAAAAAAATAAAAAAATGATTGGGAAACTCACATTTGCTTTTTTCACCAGTACCACAAAGCACAGCAGGGGTCTAGGAGAGCGAGTCAGTTAAAGGACAGACTTCAGATGGCTATTCCTCTTCATTAGTGCAGCGTTTGGCATAGCCAGCAGTAGGGGAGGTAAATATATACTTTATTCTTTTTGGGGGTCTATTGTATTAGAAATGTTATCTATCTAACCAAGATGCTTAAAAATATCAGTTTCATGAGGAATCACGTGGACATGCGAGTAGGCAATCAAAGATTTGTCTAAAGTAGAAGGAAAGCCACCTGTTAAATGTTCCCTCTGATATTCCCACATACATTTTGCAAGAAATCACTAGTACCATTTTTTTCTGGGTTTCTGATCCCTCATGATCAAAAATCTCCTTGGCTCAATCCCCTTTCTCAGTGGCTGATGCCGACACTTAAGTTAAAGTTAAGGATGCCAACGTGATGACGTCACTGCTATATGGGATATGATGGGATGATGATGATGTCACTGCTGAATGATGATGAATGATGGGATGATGATGATGTCACTGCCAGGGTGGATTTGATTTAAATCAAACTGATTTAAATCACGATTTAAATCACTAGTCAGTAAGGCTTGATTTAAATCCTAGTTTTCTACATAAAGACTAATTCTTGCTGGTATAACTTTAATATGCAAGTAGATGAAGATTTTTAGCATAACAACTTTTCATATTAGTTTTTTTATCCCCAGTTTAATAGGTTAATCATTCATATTTGGACAACTTTTCTGTTGTACTTAGGAAGGAGAAAAATAATCATTGCCTTAATAATAACAATTTTAAATAGATTTATTCAACTGAAACAATAACATTCCAGCATATGTTATTTGCTTATACAAACATCCATGTTTGTTAACTAATTTGGCTAAACAAAATATATATATTTTAAGAAACTTAGACTGTCAGCCCCTTCCTCCTCACACTTAGTTTCATTTTCTTCTTGTGCAGATCTATTCCACTCCAAACAATCAAAAAATATTGTTTCTATTCTATTCACTGAACTTCTTGAAACTTAGCACTGAAGGGGTTGATTCTGTATTCATAGGTTTGTAGAAGTTAGGATTAAGGTCTTTTTCCTAACTCTGTTCATGTTATAACATTTTTGCTGTGAAAGAAGAGGCATGTGATCTCCGCTGAGTCAAATTCAGTTTTGAGAACTGCAAAAGTAAACCAAGCATCTGTGATAATATCTTGTAGG